AACACAAGTAGCAAACATTGTCTGCCTTGGGTTAAACACATGGCATTCAGGAAGCAAGACTTTTAATTTGGGGTTTATTCCAAATACTGATAAATTTTGAACTTGTGGTTGCTAATCAAGTTGTCTCAATCTAGTTACTGACCCGTTTTTGTCTTCCTCTACTAGTCTTCCTCTACTAAATTGAAAAGATTGATTGAAAATCCCCAACTGTACAAGTCTATGATTTCATTGAGGGATAATGCCCCCAGGCCAATCATTTCTACCTAGCTGGTCAAACCTGCCCTCACTGTAGTACAGAACTCTGTCTGTTGTGTCATCCTGGTTATGAAACTACTTCTCTCTTCAGTGTTTTTTTTCTGTCCTCTTTGAAAGTCATTTGTATCTTTCATATTTCCTTCTTTCACGCTTACCAGAGGTTCTATCACCACCTTTTTAACACACTTGCCTAACAGTCAGTGTACTGTTACTTACACCACACCTCTTCTGTGGAAAACACTGCTATCATTGTACTGTGTTGGTAATCAGTTCCGACTTCTGGGGAACAGAAACTCTAATTGTGCTTGGGCTTTTTGCTGCACTCTTTTTTTTTTTTCTTTTTTTTTTTTTTTACGGCTGAAAATAATTTAATCTATAACAAAGATTTAAAGCCATTGTAATCTATTGAATCTGATGCAATTTCACAGATTAATGTCAGAAAGGTGGCTGTTTTTTAATGTTGCAGTATAGGTAAAAATAATTTCATTGTTAGTAATTAAGGGGATTATTAGTTAATTTCTATACCTCAAAAGAATGCCATAGGACAGTACTGTGTGCTCCAATGCCTTTTCTCAGTACGGTTTGTGGGGCAGTATATGCGAGTATTCACATGCCATTTGCGTTTACCTTTTTCTCCTTGACCGTATTTTCTCCTAATTTCCTTTATGTGTGTCCTCATGAGCTTAGGGGGGGAATTCACAATTCATTGGGCCCTCTACAGCAAAGAGTGTGTGTGCATGTGTTTGTGTGGTAGACTAAAAGACATTTATAAAGAGGTAGTGACATTCAATATGTAGTTCTGTGCTCACATGAGGGGGCAGCTGCGGTCCTTATCATTTAGCGGGACATTAAATCCTTGGTAGTGAGTGTTTGGAAATTGCTGCTGTGAAACATTAAATGTAAATAGCTCTAGGTCAGGTGCACATGGGCACATCCTTGGCTGTGGAGGCCACAGATGCTCGCAAGGTTGAGATTCCAATGCAAGCTCTTGTTTATTTAGGATTTAGTTCTTATTTTTGCTAATGTTTGCGGTACCACCCATGCATCTCTTATACCCACAGTCTCTTCTAATTAAACTTAAGGGCGATGTTGTGGTAGTGTTGGCATCACTCATTTGATGTAAACCTTGACATCCTGTTCCCTCTGTTTCTGCCCATCTCCAGCTTACTCTCCTGAGGGAAGGTTTAACAAGGCCTAAGGCTTCACTCTGGCAACAACAAGCATCAACATCGGCTGACCTCTCCGGTCCCCTGCCAGCTGTGTGAGGTCCAGTTGGTTGGCTCCAGTGGAGACAGGTCCAGCGTCCCAAGCTGGACGGAGGAGAGACAAGTGGGGCCGATGGCCCCTCCTTTGTGCTGCGACACAGAAATTCTACCTTAGGAGGGCACACTACAGATAGCAGGCCTACGGATCCCATGAGTCCCCGGGAAAAGGCGAACACTCCCACCTCAGGTTCTTCAACCAGTCACCTCAGTACCGCAGAGTGCCCTTTACAAACTGGGGTGAGTCTACAGCACACAAACACCCATGGCTTCATCTACCTGGTTTAGAGTTTAGAGTGTGTACGGATCTGGGTCAGGTGGTCATGCAGTAAAACTAAACCAACAAAACACACACGCCTGGACATTAAAAATTCAGTTGGTGTTATTACCAGAGACCTGAAACTTACTCCAGTAATTTAGGCCTCTACAAAAGTTACATAAAACATGTGATTTGTTTTTTACTCAATGGTTTGTGTTCTCAGCGTGAAATCTAAAATAATACTACATGTATACTCTAGGGACAAAGTCATCATTTAAACTTGTAGTGGGTTTTGAATGAGAATGCTATGATCAAATTACCAAACTAGAGCAGTCTGATGTTTCCTTGTAGTTACAATTTGTTTTTGTTTTTTTTTAATAGAATTCTTGTTTATCGTATTTAACCAGTTTGTTCCTGTTAACTGAGCTTTCCACCCCCTCAAACCTGACACAGTCATCACCTTTAAGGTTTTGTAATTCAATAATGAGTCACTCTGTGACTTTTTTAAACAGTTTACAATAACAGCTGTGATGTCATGTTCAGTTTTAGTACATATTGAGTGATGTACACATTGAGCGTCTTCACATGTTCCCAAGTGTAGACCGGGGTTATGTCTATATAAAGACGAATTCCTGAAAAGAACATACTGTAGGCGCAATAAGCAAAGAACAGTGTGATCAGAATCACAAAGTCAACAAAGTGACCAAACAAACACCAGACATTCTCCCTTCCAGAGGCATCACTTATGACGGCGTGTGCATTGGCAGACAAAGGTGTCCCTCTGTTGTTCAGTGTAGAAGACAATTGGCTCTGAGCTGAAACACAATAGTCTTCATGTGTGGATTGAGTCGGCCTTTGTGAGCGCATGTGTGTGTGTTTGGGGCCTTTTTACCTGCTGTAACATAACGCCGATACCTGACAGGATACGAGGGGCCCTCTGGGCTCAATCGGCAAGGACAGGTTGCCCTAACACCCCACAGTATGCCCACAGCATTTTGGGTGATATGTTGTAGTGTTTGATTTTTTTGGTGTGGTGTTGGTATTTCCTCTTTGGTTTGGTGTCACTTCCCCTTTTTGGTAGAGATCCCATTGTCTCTTCTGTCAGGAATTTTGAATGTTTTTTTGAATTTTTGCTAAACAAAGTGACTCAACTTGTTCCCTCAATTCTGTGGTGTTTGTCTTTATGATCAGAGTGCAGCTTGGCAGAACATTATGTTAGTAAGAATAGCGGTTCACCTGCAAAAGTCCAAACTACTATCTAACAACTTTACGATTGTAGTCTTTAGTTTACATTATATTTGTGTATGTAGCTCGCAGGTCTAGTTGATGTCCAATATTCATTGCAAAAATCATTTTTCATAAATAATTAAGGCTTAGGACTAACAGTCCATGTTTCTGCTAAGTTAGGTAGTTTAACTTGAAAGTTTCTGTCGATGCAGCTGATACGAGACCATGGACAGTTGAGATGATAAGAATGTTAATGATAAGAGTGTACAGTACAAAGTACAGAACAGAACAGACCCGTACAACTTTTTTGAACTGTGTCTTTGGACTTTAAAATCCCAAAGTACAAAATCCCTTTGGCCATGTTTTTTCAAATGCTTTGACACTGACACACATAATGTAGACAAAGGGCGTGGAATCCAGTCCTTCTTCCTTCCATTCTACCTGTCAGCAACAGTAACAGCCCAATTTGTACTACATCATATTACGTTGTCTTTTCACATAGTGTTTAATTTCTTAGTTGTTTTTTTTTAATTGCAGTAATAAAAATGTTAATTTAGCCAATAATGTTCCTTAGAAACAAAGCCACTCTGAATTTGATTAAAAACTTGGTCTGGAGTTCTGATAACAAACATTTAATGTAAACAAGAATGGTTTAGTTTCTCTTCTTTCTTATTTATTTATGTAGTTGTCAATGTTCAGGAAAACAACCATGATCACACAGTTTTCTGCAAAGACTGACAAAACAATGAAAACAAAAACAACATTCTTACTGCATTTTGGTGTAAATAAACTTGAGTTGGGACTGACTGACTCTAATCTTTCAGCCTTTATTGTCTCGGGACGAGAACGGAGACAACAGTTTGTGTTTGGAGGCAGCGCAGCATGTGGTTTTTGAAGGTGGTGGTGGGTATGAAGAGTCTTGATTTATTATTATTATCCAAATACCTTCAATCCCAAGGGTAACTGCCTGTTTGAGTCACATGTTGAATCTCCCAGTCCATTCCACGCAGTGTTTACTGTGTACAGAGGTAAGCTCCTCCTTTTTTTCTTTTCTTTTTTTTTTTTTTTTGCAGACTCCAGACTTCTCATTGGTTAGTTTCTGCAGGGCTTTCCTGTTGGCTGTTTTCATTCACCCACCCACCCATCTTGAACTTACCATGTGACTTTGTTTGTGTCTAAAATTCCATGTGTTAAAAGAAAATGATGGCGATTTATTCTCTGAAGATTCTCCTGCCTCCTCAAAACATCCTCTGCTGTAAGGCTCAGCAGAACTAATTAGAGCAGAGGTTTCTTCTAAACATACATAACGAAGGGTTGTGTGTGTGTGTGTGTGCGCGCCTGTGTGTGTTTGTTTGTCTGATTTGCCATTAGTGAGTTCTGAGTCATTCTCTAAGTCTGTACATAACATTTAATCAGTCTGCTGGGAGCAGAATGTATGTTTTTGTGTGTGTGAGTCTGGGGAGAAGATTGGTCTTCAGGGGCTTTAGAAAGAAAAAACAAAACATTAATTTAATCCAAAGCAGACCTTGCCTTGTGTCTTTAGACATTTTCAAGTGTCCATGTTACAAAAGTTTAATTGAGATTAATGCAAATGTGATATTTCACTTTTAAAAAATAATTTTTTTCACGACATTTAGCAGAGGGTTGAAGTTTAGGCTTATGCTGATTATGCTATTTGTGTTCCTGTTTTATTTATTTTATGTGCTTTTATATCTGTTTTTTTTTAAATAGCTGTGTCTTCAAAATTAATACCTGAAGTCTCAATACCAAACTCTTCATATAAAATATACTTTTTCTAACTTTCTAAAGCACCATTTGTTTTGACAGAAATCAAAAAAAATATTGAACAGATTTGAAACACATTCCTTGATTGGTCAGGGTTCTGTTGTTTTCCTGCCTGTCCCAGGAAAAAAGGATTCCTAGAATAGTGGGAACATTACTCTGCAGCAACAACAGAAATTACCCAACGCTTGTGAGTGGCTCTGTGTCGGGGCGTCAGCCAGCTCATTGGAGCTGCCTTCCAGACTGAGTTAGTCAGACATGCTGAGCTGATATACAGAGAGTTTTTAGATCTGAGAGTGGACACTTCCCAGAGGGATGGGATCATAGCCTTGACCACACACTTGTACTTTCACACAGAGCGTAATTTGACTCCTTCACCTCTGCCATTATGACTGATGTTCGAAGACTGGGCAGCCAGTGTCCAGTCACGTGTAGTGGACATACTGTGCTCATTCAAGATCTGTTTGTATGTGTGTGTGTGTGTGTGTGTGTGTTCTGTCAGGGAGACAGAGAGTGACTGTAAAGCCGTAAGTCATTTAGGGCTAGCCCGGATTTCCAAGAACTTCTCCTCCGTGTCTCCTTCCTGCTGCATCTCCTCTCTGACTTGTTATCAGATCTGATTTGGCAATGTCAGCTCAGCAGTTTACAGCCAAACCTTCTGCATCACCTGCTGCTAAACTTCAACACTGTTTACTCCTAAAGAGTTCAACACAACTAAGCAGATGTTTGACCAGAGAAGGGAAAAAAACTGCAGTTTCTGCTTTTTTTTTTCATGCTGGCAGCTGGTTTTTGTGTCAGCATTTACCCCCTCATAATGAAATTGTAAACATCCACAGCTTCCTCTTTATGGTTAAACCCTTTATTTTTGTTTGGGTTAAAAGCAGACAAATGCTAACTAGATGAATATTACTCACTAATGCAAGAACATAAACCCCCTACAATGAGATAAAATGTAGAAGTGAAAATATCACTCAATGCAACAATGCTACTTTAAAAACATCTTAATAAAAATATAGTGTTTTGTGTAAAGCTGTAGGAGCTTTGCACTCGTGTTCTAAATGTCTCTCTACAAATATTAAAGTTTAATGGTGGAGAACCAATTTACTAGTGGTAAATGAAGTACAATTGGAGGACACCCCTTTGACACAACTGCAGCAGTCCAGTGTTCCTCAACACTGGGGTCGAGACCCCACACAGGGTCACCTGAAATATTCAGTAATTGATAGAAAGAAAAGCCCTAAAAATATTTTATCAACTAATTGTTATTATTTTTAAAAAATATGACTAGAAAATTGACACACAATCTCAAACAACTTTTTTTTCACTCTCATAAATGTAAATCGACTACATATAAAATCTGATCTAGCGTCTTGATTGATGTCTGTGATCATGTTACTGTAATAAATGTCTCTGGGGTCGCCAGAAGTTTGTGATGTGGGGGGAATGGGGTCACAAGCAACTCGTCACATAATATCAATGCATATTGTATCATGCTATGTGTCACTTCCCTGTCAACACATCGTGCTGGGTGTGGTGTCAAAGGTGGAACAATCCAAGCATGACCTGTCCTGCTATACATCTAAATAGCTAACCCAGATTAATTACAGTTGATTAGCCAATCAGTGATGGAGTAACTGCAGTATTGCTGTCACTGGCCTAGGAAAAAAAAGTAAAAACAAAACCAAAAAAGGTGCTAACCCAGATTAATTACAGTTGATTAACCAATCAGTGATGGAGTAACTACAGTATTGCTGTCAAAGGCTTAGGAAAATAAAAGTAAAAACAAAACCAAAAAAGGCAAAAAACAATTTTCGAGCTAATTTTTCTTTTCCTGTCACGGTGATAAATCAAGTACACACAGAGACGTCGGTTTCATTAACCCTGGGGTCAGAGCTCTGTTGATGTTACATACTCTCTAATCCCTTCATCTATATTTACCGCTCTGATACTTTATTCTCACCGTTCTCAACCTTTAGAACAGAAGGTCTCTCAATGAGGTGGGATGTAACAGCAATGCACACTCACACACAGCTATTTCACACCCTTCAGGAATAACCTTAGAGTGAGGAGCGTGAATGGTCAGCATCGGGATTTAGGCCTACAACTCCATTACATGCCTGCGTGCACACGCACATGAGGGTGTTACACACACACACACACACACACAAACGGAGACCGCAGAGCACACGTGAGCACTTGGCGGTCACCCAGATACCCTCTGAATGTGCGCACATAGTGTACTCAACCACTGAAGCTTACACACACACACACACACACACACACACAGACACACACACAGACACAGATTGGATGTCAGGTGATGCCTTTATCTGAACATCCAAACTGTGGATTTAGGTGAGTGTGGTTTGGTCGCATGCTTTCAGGTGTAATAGAAGTGTGTGTGTGTGTGTGTTTGTGTGTGTGGTTCACAACAGCCAACTGTGATTTGACCTGCTGCATGATTAAATGCACACGTGTTGTGCCGATGCAGGGCATGTAGGCAGAAGTGAGGCTGGCAGAGCCACACTTGGAAAATTGTCAGCAAGAACAACACAACATCATCATCATCAAAGCGTCACACCGTACATTATTTACATATGTGGTTTTAATGGTGGAAAATGAAGATTGACCGTTTCATCAGAGTATTAACAACGTGTTTTCAGAGAAACATAATGTGATGATAGCGTTTTCTTGTACGTTTTAAGTCATACCTGAAGAATTTCCCTTCACCGGCCATGTACCCGTGTGTGTTTGTGTGCTTCTCGATGCGTGTCAGTAATGATAAATGACTGTGTGTTTATCGCAAAGCACTCGTCATATTAATTCAGTTGCAGCTCCCTGGCTGTGACAGCTGCTGTGTTACGTTAAATTCACACCATCAGTCTTATCCTGGGGTTTATCTATGGACACCAGCAGTGGTTTCTTTAAACATGCTTTGGCCGTTAACACTGGTTTCCTTATGTTTTTAAAAAGTGGCTAAAAAGACGATCAGACAGAATCCAGTAGGTAAATTATCAAGTAGGTGTCTTCAAGTTAGACGGTGCTGGAATTTCTCACGCTCCTCATGGTCACCTTGAGAAAGGACACCAAGCTCTGATGGTTTATTTCAAAGCTTTGTGGCACATTTACAGACTCTCCAAAGACAAACAACGATATCATGATCTATGATAATTTACTGATGACTTTTATGGACTGTTATCTTATTGTAAGGAATTGATGGGTCTCTTGGCAGGCAAAGGTTAAGCAAGTCAATCATTGAAAGACATTCGGCTGGTAAACAATTACACAACTTGGATCAATAAAGTCTCACATGCGTGTGTGTGTGTGTGTTAAGTGGCCAGTGGGTCTTTTTTTCAGCTGATGAAGCCTAATTACCTGATCACAGCATTAAGATGACGTGTCCTTTGTCCCAATAATTGTTACTGAAACTCTTTTTCCTTAACCGTTTTCTTTTCTTCTTCTTAGCGTGTCCCAGAGTACGACGAGGAGGTTAGAGATGAAGATGACGACAGAGGAAGGGTAGAGGAGAATGATGAAGAGGAGGAGGAAGAAGAGGATGAGAAGAGCAGTGATGAAGGCTTCATGGGAATGACACCGCTGCTGCAGGCTCACCATGCCATGGAGAAGATGGAGGAATTTGTTCACAAGGTAGGGGAGATGACCACACTCAGTACTTCCGCTTGTTCTTCAGCTTTACATTTTTCCTCATTCCCTTCATAGGGATCAATGTTTGTCTCTACAGAGAAGCTCAAAGAAATCAATACAAACACAAAAGACCCAGAAAACAAACTACGTTTCCAGAGGAATCTTTAAATGTTCAGTTTTTTTTAATATTTTCAAATGACAGCCAAACATTTAACCGTGTTCTGTAGATTTAGACTGGAAACGGGCCAATGATCAGGTTTATCAGTGATAAAGACTTTTTATTGTGTTGTTCGTGATTGTAAAGGTCACATAAGCAGCAATTATTGCTTTGATTGGTTGTTTTATACAGTCACAAACTCTCTCATATCCTGGAGGTGTTTGTCTGTGATATGTTGTTATGAGACAGAACACCGCTCAACACAACCTCAACACTCTCTCTCTCTCTCTCTCTCTCTCTCTCTCTCTCTCTCACACACACACACACACACATCAGCAACTCTTCTGAAATTGCAACTAGAACGTTGTAAATTAGGGAAATTAATCATCTCTCTGTCTCATTTCTCTCTTACCTCCCTCAGTCTCCCTAACCCTCCCTGTTCTCTCTCTCTCTGTCTCCCTCTCTGTCTTCTCTCTCCTTGTTCTCTCTCTCGCTCTCTTTCTTTTTTCCTGCCCTTTCATGCCCATCTCTCAGTCACTCTCAGCCTCTTCCTCTTCTTTTGCCCCCCATCGCGCTCTCCTTGTTCTTATCGGCCTTTATGCAGACATTTCCTCAATTAGTGTTTACAGGCAAGGCCAGCAAATTACAGTGTTCTGCCTCCATGTAGTCAGACAGAGGCGTCAAGCAGCTTCATGTAAATATAACCCAGGAACAAAACTTGTACAAACCTCATTATTTTTCTTTTTTTTTAAATCAATGCTTATACTGATCTTGAGAATGTGGATTTGGCTGATAACTGATATATGACGGCAAGCTTTTTTTCAGCACTTATTTTTCCAAGCAAATAATATTAATAATAATAATAATAATGTTTCAGACAAAATTCCAGACATTTTCACTTCCTGACACCTGATGTGACACGTTCACTGACTGTTGCAGCTTTCTAGTTCTTTTAAACCAATAAAAGAAAACATTCAATTTTTGGCCCGTCATTTTGTATCAAACTTTACTACAGCAAAGTAAAGTTGCTGTAAAAACGAGGTAGTTTTAGAATAGACAAAGAGTATTTCTCTCTCTCTCTCACTGCCTGTAGTGTGGGAACTCCACTTTAAATCACAGAGTGGTGGGAAAAGCTTGTCCACCCGTGGCTGCGGTCTTTAATGGTAGGAACCAAGCCGTAAAGCTGCAACAGTCAATGTCATGTCAATGGCCGTGGTGGAGTGTCACAGCCTGGATGTGACATATTGACAATGTGCAACCGCAGCCATGGCAAATAAAGATCTACAGTAACTTTAACCGTCGGCTGACAAACTGATGTTGGTGTTCCTTTTTTTCTGTAATGAGGAAGAACTCACAAAGGATCAATGAACGAGAGAACATCGGAGTGAGCAGGGATATGTGCGAAAGTAGTCTCACCCTCTCTCTCTCTCCCACTCCCTCTCCTGCTCTCTCCCTATTTCTTGCTCTCCTTCTCTGTCTCTCTCTCTCTCTGTCTCTGTTGAAGGTGTGATTGTTGTATAAGACTTCAGTTTATTTATTTACATCACCTAATTTGACCCAGAACATGTAATTTGACACTGACACTTGAACCACACACACACACACACGCACTCACATGAGCTCCCATACACACACACAAACACACACACACCAACTGACACAGTAGAAAAAAAACAACCATCTGTTTGTCAGAGAGGACTTTGAAGAATAAAGTCATTCATGTTGTCAGGGTTCCTGTCCCAGTCTTTAATCCAACTTCTCTGGCATCTGTTCTTCGTTAACCAATCAGGTGTGGGAGGGTCGGTGGCGTGTCATACCTCACGACGTGCTTCCTGATTGGCTGAAGGACAACGACTTCCTCCTCCACGGTCACAGACCACCCATGCCTTCGTTTCGGGCCTGCTTCAGGAGCATCTTCAGAATCCACACGGAGACGGGAAACATCTGGACTCATCTGCTGGGTACACACACACACACATGGCACAATAAATCGGAGAAACTTGACATTAACTTCTGTTTCAAAGAAACAGCGAGGAACAGTTTTAATCTTAACTTTAACTTCAAACTTTTGTTTTGCTTTTCCTCTTGATCAGTTTTTGCAGCCTGTTAGAGGCTGATCTCCTTATTTATTCCACCTCATTGGTTTAATAATTCCAGTGTAAAACATTATCCTGTGTTAATTGTTAGCTGTTGTTGTCAAAGGCTGACTGGAGGTGGATTATGTAATGGAGTTTATGTAATAAAAAGTTGTTAAAATAGTTTCTAATTTTCTTTAATTGTACTCAGAGGAATAAATCTGATTATTAATTTCTTCAATTTCAGGTTTTTATTGAGACTGAAATATTTCTGGTTTTCTTCAGTCCTTTAAAACTGATTGTGACTATTTGTGTACTCTGCTTCCACCTCGTGGTGATTGAATGATAAGGCAACCAATTTTTTTTTACATTTAGATAACTGATAACTTGAATCTATGGGTCGAATTAACATTAGATTTTAAAAAGTCTAATCACAGAAATATAAGTACATAACACATTTTTAACTATTTGTGAAAATAGTTAATATTTTAAGAAAAACAAACACGTGGATCTTATTCACTTCATATGTATTGGGTAATCTAATCACAGAAATATAAGTACATAACTCATTTTTTAACTATTTGTGAAAATAGTCAATATTTTAAGAAAAACGAAAAAAGATCTTATTCACTTCATATGTTTAAATTGACAATTCTTTAAAGGCTGTGATTGTGTGGCTTGAAGTAAAATGGCAGAAAACGGAAACCATCTCATCACCTCTCTCTCTCTCTCTCTCTCTCTCTCTCTCACTCTCACTCTCACTCTCTCCCTCACAGGCTGTTTGTTTTTCCTCTGTCTGGGCCTCATGTACATGTTCAGGCCCAACATGTCTTTCGTGGCTCCAGTCCAGGAGAAGGTGGTGATCGGGATGTTTTTCCTGGGAGCCATCCTTTGTCTCTCTTTCTCCTGGCTCTTCCACACAGTCTACTGCCACTCTGAAGGCGTCTCCAGGGTCTTCTCCAAGTACGGCACAATCTGCACGAAAATAACAAACGACAAATAACTGCACGATCTTGTAAAAGAGCTGAGGGCTCTGATAAAGCGTCCTTCATCTGTGGTGTTTGTCTGTCTCCAGGCTGGACTACAGCGGGATCGCCTTCCTCATCATGGGGTCTTTCGTCCCCTGGTTGTATTACTCCTTCTATTGCTCTCCTCAGCCTTGCTTCATCTACCTGTTGGTGGTGTGTACCCTGGGTTTGGCCGCCATCACTGTTTCCCAGTGTGACTTCTTTGCCACGCCACAATACAGAGGAGTCAGAGCAGGTGGAGTGAACAAAAAGAAAAACATGGCTTCAAGTTTTCCATGAATGCTTTTCTCCTCCCTTTCACTGCTTTTATCATCACTCCTGATTGTGTGGTGTGGTCTCCTTCCTCTTCAGGAGTGTTTGTGGGTTTAGGGCTGAGCGGCGTGGTCCCCACCCTGCACTTTGTAATCAGCGAGGGCCTGATCAAAGCCACCACCATCGGTCAGATGGGCTGGCTGCTGCTGATGGCCACGCTCTACATCACCGGAGCCTGTTTGTACGCCGCCCGCATCCCAGAGAGGTTCTTTCCCGGAAAGTGTGACATCTGGGTGAGTGACTGACAGAAACACATGTGCTGTAGGATAATTTGTAAAAATAGAACCAGGACTTGTTATCTCTCAGGAACCAGCCGGCAGCTCAAGGTTTTGTTTTGGGTTTCTACCATCACATTACAAGCTGCTTCTGGGACTTGAGCTGATTAAATACTGGTGTCCCAAGGGTCAAATGTCACATTTGCTAGATTCACAAAATAAATGATTTGAGGGACATTTGAAGGAAGCATTGTAAATCTTGTTAAATAAATAACAAGCTGATTTCAGGGTCCAGTGGAAAGAGAGTCCAGAATGTACAGGTCAATATCTATATACTGTAGAATGAAAACATATTTAATACACAAAATGAAATTGACAATTTCACAAAAATCGGAAAGTTTACTCTATTGATTTATGCAATAGCCTAAAAAAATGTTGCTTAAATACATTATCGGACAAGGCTAGCAATTCAACAAGTTCCTATTTTATTCCACATCACTTAATCCATTCCTCCGTGCTGTTGCTTTTTTGTTTGTGATCTTTATGGAAGTTTATGGAATAATTTTTCGGTGCTGCAGCAGTGTAGATGGTGCCCTCTTGTGGTCATATATATAATGAGGTATGTTTTGCAATATAAATCCCAGAACTGCCCAAAAGCCCAAAGGCAGTGCAACGTCTGGCCTGTAAAATACTGCAGGTCTGGAGAAGTTTTACTGTGAGGAAGGTGTTCTTTGTGTTTTCTTACTTCTCGATCCCTAGGCCATCTGTCTGCTGCTTTACTGTACTGTGACTATATATTACAGTATATATTTTTGTCCCCATAAGAAAGAAAAAAAACATGTTCTGTGAAAGTCACCTCCTGTATGTTGACCCCGGTCACTGTGTTCTCCACAGTTCCACTCCCACCAGTTGTTCCACATCCTGGTCGTCGCCGGAGCCTTCGTTCATTTCCACGGCGTCTCAAACCTCCAGGAGTTGCGCTACACAGTGGGAGCAGGCTGTGCAGAGCAGGGCACACTCTAACACAGGCACGCATACACACGTGCAAATACACACTGATGTAACACATTCACACACACACACACATACAGACACACACCTGGCAGGGAGGCAGCAGTTCTACTAAAATGCACGGAGTGTTTTTTACACACTAGCTTCTCAAACACGTGCGTCAGGCCTGAGGGGAAGTGCACCACACTCACCAAGTGGCTTTGCCCCTGTGCATAATAAACAGGACAGCCTCCCAGGTGGCGCTGTTGAACCTGGTTAAAGAGGGTGTTGCTCTTTTTCTGTCCACTGTCTGCCCGTCCGTCTCCCCTCTGACTTCCAGGTGTGGGAGTGTTTTATAAAAACCCTGTTCCTGTGACTTTTTTGTGGAAGAATCTCAAATCCTCTTACATTTTCTTCTTTCTTGAGTGACGACATTTAACAGTTTGGTTTGAAATGGAAGCAGAATTGTACTTAAAATATGACGTTTGGGTTGGTTTTTTTTTGGCCAGATAGTTTTCATTTAAACATGAAAAAAAGAAAAGCAGTTTTGTGACAAACATTTCTTTGGATTTCTTTCAAGGTTTCATTGAGCTGCGGAAGGAGGGCCGGGTTAATGGTCACTTTTAAAAGCAAAAAAAAAGAAAAGAAAAAAGAAAACAACCCTTTTGTGTAAATAAGATTTCTAAAATTTTGGGTTATAGATTTGTAAGAAACATGAAAAGCTCACAAAAATAAATGTCACATTGGCAAAAAATAAATGAGGATGATAGAAAATAAACAAATTAAAGTCGAGGAGAGGAGAGGTCTGTCCATGGCTGCAAATAAGCAGTGACTTCCTGTCTTAAGTAACATTTCTTGCCAGCGAAGGCAGGAAGTGACATCGGCCTCCTGTCTAAAAAGAAAAAAAAATCTCGACAGAACCAGTGCTCTGCTCACACTTTGCTTCATTTCACTGTTGTGTTTGAACACTTTTTCCTCACGTCTCGTCAGATCGGAGGCCTGACGAATAAAACGCTCTCCTGTGCTTAAAACCAAATAGAGTCAAAACGATGACACTCACCCCGATGTGTAGCCATTTTCATGAAATGTTCTTTCTGTAAATTGTGATATAATGTATATCTGAAGACTAAATAATAACAATTTCTATATGACACCCATATGAGTTTATTCTTTTATTGAGCTGAACTGAGACAACTTTATGGATTGAAAAAAAGAGAGTTTTTTTTATATACAAGTGTGCAGAGTCACGTTGGTCCTGTCGTACTGTAGATCTACAGTATTAGAACTGATCGTTCTCTTTCGATAAAATACAACTCCTAAAAATAAACAATAAATATTCCTTCTGTATGGATTGTATTTTTATTTAGCTTTCTTGTATTATTTTGAGTATTATTATTATCATTGAAGCAAGCTTTAATTTCATTTATTCTTGTCCCTGATTGTTTAAAATTAAGCTTTTGAACATATGTGGATTTGTCATTTGATTGACCTTTGATCAGCGTCTTCATCTCCTCTTTAAGAGAGAAAAAATCCATTCTCCTTTTGTTCTGTTTTATTTGATCACCTTTATATTAATTTATTTCTCTTGGTGAGTGCATTTTGTCTGTGGAAGCACATGTTCCGTTCTGATGGGATTGTCTTATTACAATAGAACTTTATATCTGCTGTATTGTTCTAATAAATGGGGTTTTTTTTTTGAGTCTTTGAGTCTTTTAGTGATCAGTTAAAGAAAACACCTAAGAAAATGCTGGACGTCTTCACATCGTTACACTGTTTTTGAAAAGCATCAAAAGTATCTAATTAATTATTATTAACTCTTGCATTTTAAAGCATTTTCTGACATTTAGGATTTTTTCACAAGCCAGGAAACGATGTTTTGGGGCATTTTTGGTACAAATGATACTTTATATATATTTTAAATATCATATAATACAAATATTTTTTTTTCTTTTAAAAGCATTTTTGGACATTTTTATTTTGGGGATTTTTTTCACAAACGTCATACTATATAATCCGTCATGTTTTTGGTCATGTTTCACTAACCAAGAAAGCATTTTTGTTGAAAATTATACACATGGGTGCAGATTTTGGGTCATTTGGTTGCAACTTATTTTTTTTACTTTACTTTTTTACTAAAAAAAAAAACAAAGTTCACCAACTGTACTTTATTTAGGTGTTCGTTGTAGAAGAGTTTCTGGAAAAGAAAACTTCCACTTCCTGTCTAACAAAGAATAACAAAACTTGATAACGATGAGAGCTTCACTTTGAGCCAAAAAAAGGAAATCTCAAATGTAATTTTTTGTTGTTGTTGTTTTGTTTGTTTGGTTTGTTTTGTTTTGTTTTACGAGTCTGAGTTTAAACATTTGAACTTTTGACGTTTACGTCAAGTTGATGGCTTTCAGACATGGACAAATGCTACCCCAAAAAGAAAGCCAAAAGAAAAGTCAATTTACCATTTACGAGCTGTAGTGAATGCAGCACGGGATAGTGGAAGCGGAAAGAGCCTGATTACTTTGGAATGAGCGAGAGCGCCAGGAAAAGAGACGAGAAGAACGAGGTGCTTACCTCGCTTGAGAGCGTTATCAAAACATTTTTTTGAACTGTGTCAGCTTTGCAGGCAGCATTTTATGAAGAAAAAACTATTTAAGGAATAATTTTGCCATGAAGCGCTATGGACTGAGGGTCACGCACGTTAAAGTGTTTCCCAGTAATCAGACAAACTTTTGGCCGGATGTTGATTGATTATCAGTCAGCTGAGGGCACCATCGTGTAGAAAAACTTATGGTCACAACTTGTGTGGGAGCAAAAACCGCCCTTCATTAATGTATCAAAAAAGTACATTTTAGTCTAAATTTTAACCATAGAAGTAGGATATTGCTACGTATTTTAAGGAAAGTGGGTGCATTTTATTAATTTTTGAGAAATTCTGAAAAATAATTTTACAAAAATGTTTGTAAAAATGTGACCAAATAATCAAATTACTGCACTTAGAGAACATTTTTTGAAATTTTTTTGTATTAAATCTTTTCTAAAAATCTAAAGCATTAGTGCCATTTTTGGTCAAATTTGTTAGAAAATTTGATGAACATTTTTGTAAAATTATTTTTCAAAATTGTATCTTTGCCTGCATGTTTCTCATCAAATTGGGGCAAATTCTAAAATTTCAGATTTTGACAAAAGAT